ATAAAATACAAAATATTAAAAGCAGTTAATTTCCACAAGTAAAATTAGACGGAATTCATAAAATATAATACAATAAAATGCAGTTAAAAATACAGTTAGGGTTACATATATCAACATGGGGAAGAAATCATTTCTTAATAAAGTAAAATATAAAAATAAAATAATAAAATAAAATAACAGTTCAAATGCAATAAAAACACATAATTAATAGCGGTTTATTTCCACAAGTAAAAATACATGATCAATAACAGTTCACAATCTAAATTAAAATTAAAATATAACAAAAATACAATAGAATGCATTACATAAATCAATTTCACTGTTAAAGATTAGATCAAATAAAATACAGTAAAATGCAAATAAAATAAATGATCAACAGAAGTTCACAAAACAAAATAAAAATATAAAATAAAACATTTATTGAGGTCTTTAGGCCATGAAATCCCAAAGCTGCTTCAGAAGTATGAATGTCTAAGTGGTATCTCAGAATCAATTAGCTATTCATTTTCCCCACACATAAAACACATGCATTAGGAGCTCAAAATGGCATAAAGAGCCTTGATATATGTGCATATCTTTAATCTATTTTATTATCCTACTCTCCTAATTTCCCAATAAATGCTTTGCAGAACCGCACTGCAGCTCTGAATCCTTAATGTGCATATAAACTGCTCTCAGAAGGACAGCGATTAAATCCGAAACTGTATCAGGAGACGGATCACATGAGCTTCACTTTCTGCACTCACACTGGTAATCGTCAAATCAAATTACTGTGCATTAGCATAAAGTTAATCTGTCGCTTTAGTTGCCTCAAATCATAACCACATCGGTCGCTTTGTCGCTGCAAATCACTGTCAGTATGAACAACCCTCTAATAGTTTTGCCTGCGCTCCTCAAGCAATCCTTTACCTCCAGATGGAATAGTTGGGAAAAATGCAAACAATTCGAGAGTTTTCCCGAAAGCATCATCCATCTGAAGTCACCATGATTAAATGCACAAAGTGTCATACAAAACTGCTTCATCCAATCACAGCTCACGATAGAACTCAACCAGCTATTGACATTCCAAACAAAACAGACACTCCGACGTGTGCCAATTCCCTCAAGGTTGAAGCGGCAGTCTCTGATGGAAACGGTCGCCTGAGAGATGTAGAGGTGGGGGGAGGATTTTACATGAGTTTTCTCTCTTCTACAGGACATTTCAAGACGAGAGTGGACAATGTCATGGTTAATTTCCAGCGGCTTCCTGCCCGACACATCTGGCTTTGATAAACAGCTGGCTAACGGAGGCTTCAAGAGGATTTTTTTGGGTGGGAGATGCGGGGGGTGGGACTGATATGAGCTGACTGCAAAGCTTGGCCCACAAACCTAATCTTTAGAAAGCACTTAAAGGAAGTTTGAGTGATTTCAGGCCAGCGCTTGGTTTTCTGAGGCCTTCTTCTCTTTTCTTTGCAATTCAGTCCAGTTGTGCTGGCGGTTCTCTAGCGTATTCATTATAATCCAATCAACTGACCTCAGCTCTCGGATGCATTAGAATGAGGTCGATCATTTAGTGTTTGGACACACACAGCTGCTTATACTGTATAGTTAGTACAGAAGCTACATATCATTAGCCCAATGGAAAGATTAAATCATATGATGAGAAATAATATACAGTTGGCATAATGCTGATTACCGCAGACATTAATTTAACTTGTCTTAGCCTACAGAACTGCAAATAAGCGTTTCATATTTTAAGGATCACAAAAGTATAACCTCAGTACTTCCCTTAGAATCCCTTACTAATCTTGTCTTCAAACTCATTTCATAAGCTAAAAAAGTAAATCATTCTTTTATACGGTGACCATACTACTCTTACTGTTTCTTCAGTATCACTGTACAAAAAAATTATATGATCAATAAAAGTCACGGTAACATGTTTTTTTCATTAACTTCAAGTCAAAATCAAGTCAAATTTTAAGTTAGTTTAAAGGGGTCATAGGATGCCCATTTTCCAAACGTTGATATGATTCTTTAGGGTCTTAATGAAAAGTCTGTAATATAGTTTGGTAAAAAATTCTCAATGGTAGTGTAAAAAACACCTTTTTTACCCTGTCAAAAACAGCTCTTTTCAGCGCATGCAGTTTTGTAGCATTTTCCTTTAAATGTTAATGAGCTCTGCTGACCCCGCCCCTCTCTTCCGAGCTGCTCTCTCAGGGACCGTTTACTTTAGCTGCATTCATCGTGAAACTTGCTAATTAGCACATTATTAGGAAAGGCGATTTGCAAAGATTCATTAAAAAAACCTTACACTCAGTTCTTCTGTTGGTGAAGCTGGATCACGAATGATTCGCGTGAACATAGAAGCATTTATGTAGATCGGGGGTGCATTCTCTTCAAAAACAAACGTGATCCACTGTGTCTTCAGCGGCTCATATGTCGGGAGTAAATGACGACTGCTATGTTCATTATTACATCCAACAACAGAAGACCTCAATCGTTTAGGAGTCATTCTTGTCTACATCTGCTCCGGCGGTGAAACAATGGCGGACTGATGACAGCTCACTCAGGGCGGGTCTAAGGTGAGACACCAGTCCAGTCTGTGCTGAAACGCTACTGTCCATCAAACTATCGTGGGAGGGGCCTGTTTTTGTGACGTCACACAGACAGGCATCTGAGATCGGCTCGATTTGAGAAAGGGGTAAAGATATGAGCAGATAAAAAAAAAAAACACTGGGGGGATTTTTATCATTATAGGGTGGTTGTGAACACACACTGCCTACACACATTTCAGTTCAAACAACTTTTAAAAGTGCATGTAGCATCATATGGCCCCTTTAATATAATTTAAATTGAAATCATTTCTAAAGCCAATTTGATTACACTTAACTTAAGGCAGAAACTGAACTTTTTTTTAAGATGAAGTGATTTTTTTTTTTACAGTGCATGTAAATGTTAAATTTTTAGTATGCATTGAATATCACGATGACCTAATGCATTTGCAAAAATGCACTTAATACTCTATTTCAGAATGCACTTGATTGACCTTTCATTTTCTGACCTTTTCATTATTCATTTCACCATATATGAGTCATTTTTACTAAAGATTTCTACTAAAAAAGAACAGTTTTCCATCATAACTAGATGCCAATTACATGCAATTTAACGAGGTTAAGTAATTTTGCATACTAATGTTGGAAAAACTAATAACTGAATATATGTTTCACTAATTATTCATAGTCATTATCAAAACTACTTCATGGTATTGTGTATACCTCACAATAGTAGTTAATAATGAGCTAGTATTCTATTCAGACAAAGCCAATTCCTGCAAATATCTTCTGTAGGAGTTACACCAAAATATAATTTAGATAATTCATTTAAATATATGTATTTAAATAATCATTTATTTAAAAAAATAATTTGTACCTATATGTAGACATATATTGCAACTACCATGAGTAACTGAAAAACTACTGTACGTTTCTTCAGAGCAGCTGTGCATCAGCGAGTAGCTCATGTCTCTGGTCAGCATCACATCACACCACTAGCTTCTTCATTTCCAGACCTGATCTGGCTGCTCTTATCATCCGCACTTATCGCTCCATTGGCTGCTCTACAGCTGTGAAAGACTAACATTTTCCCAGATGAGCTCTTTATATATAGATTCCACTCCTTCTCACGAGGTTCCTCTTCTTATACCTGCAGAAAAACAAAGAAAAGTGGATAGAGGGTTATTTTGTGCCATAGTGCTCTGACACGACTGAAAACAACAATACTCTAGTTATTATTTTATTCTTGAACACAATCTGCTGGGAGTTCTTGGTCAAGACGGATCAAGATACTTCCATTAAAAGTCTCAGATGGTACACTGGCAGACCACATACCGTCTATCTGATGCATACTGTAGACAAAAACCGCAATGGTTTTCTAAAATCTCTAAGCTCCAATCCGATTGGCTGGTTTTATGCAATTTTACAGGATTTTATTGAACTGTTGGGAAATAAAATAACGTTTACCTGGTACCAGGCTGCTGAGTCACTGTTGATGATCATTGAAAATAACTCTTGTTCCTGCATTGGTAAAAACTAAATAATGACAGTACTTTCAGTGGTTGTCTATGGGGTACTGAACCAGAATCAACATTAAAATGGCCACAAGACTTAAACATTATAAATGTTAACATGAGGCTAGTGTAATGAAATGGCGTACTAACCTTGTCTTATATCCGTTATATCCACATTTTCAACTCAGGATCATGGAAAGTGGGTAAACCCTGTAACTTTCACACAATAAACCAGGAAAACACAGTGTACATGGAGCAAACTAGAAATTATGTCTGTAAGTCATAACCAGTAGTTTATATGCCTAGAAAGGATGATTTAGAAATTTTACACCTCAAATATCACAGATTTTTGTATTAATATAAGCACTTTATCTAAACTACAAGCTACTGCATGCATTTTATTTTTCAGAGTCATCATCAGTACTTCTTAGTTTTGGAAGGACAGATTCTGATTTCTACACTTCTTCCAATAATCCAATTCCAATATTGCACTCCAATTTGAATGAACTAGCTATTTTACTAAACATTGGCTTACTATTAGCCAAAATTGTGGGTGATTCTAGGCCAGAATGAGCTGTAAAATGGACCAGACTTTATGGCGATAGTCAAAAGTCTGGTTCCGCGAAACTTCTTCCAGACTTTATCATGTCTTGAGTGCTGAAAAGGAAACAGGATGCTTATTAGACAGGCATCATCAGTGCAGGACACTGCAAAGCAGCATCTGATAGTGGCTATCTCTCTCTATCTAATGGGAGAAACAGCAGTCTGAGACTAATGATGTGAAAAACCTCTCTCATGAAGTAATGCACAGCGCTGCCATTACCATGACAGAGTACAGCCCCGCTTGGACAGAAAGAACCCGACAAATGACGTCAACCTGAGGAGAAATGGGATGAAACTATGAAAAGTTCAATGAAAAAGTTTTTAAAATGCAAACAAAAAAACATTTTTTGTTTCAAATTTATTTGTATAAAAATGTACAGTCATACAGCAAACAACAGCACATATGGTTTCATTTAACATTGATGCAAGCGACATTAGAGAAAGTTCATTGTATCTCTTGCACTAACTGTCATCCAAATATGAGTTTCTGTGATGTGAATAATTTAAGGCTGAGAACATCTCCTTCCTTTCAGGCACTTAGCAGTTTCCTGTCAGAGCGGTTTCACAGGGTCGTCGCTGTTAAAACACATCATTAGCAGAAGAGTCTGTATCGCCTTCAACAGAGCTGAGGCTGACAGACTCTTGATCCTGTTTGACTGACGGCAGCCTCACCGACATCACTCTGACATCACTTCCTCCTCCTTCAGTGTGCAGAAAAATGTCTTCACCTGTGGGACAACAGATGAGTCAACATTTGAAAGACAGCAGGTGAAACGACAAGCTTACAACAATGCAAAAACATCATATAAACAAGATATAAATTATACAACTTATTTGGGGTCACTAAGTTTAGGGTCATTTTTTTGCAAAGAAATTCAAACTTTTGGAAAGAACACATTCCAAATGCTAAATTTGCTAAAAAAACTCATCCTATTAATGAATGCCTTTCAGTTAATGACATTGAATGGGACCGTGAACTCATCATCTGAACACAATGACATCAGCTGCTTATTAGGACATCTTTTATAACCGTCACACTGGCATGGCGGTGACACACTTACACACACACACAAACAAACACTCATCGGTCATTTCCTCTGTGTTTGGGGGGCAGCAGGCAGAGGCTGGGTGGGCATTTACCCAGATCAATGGGGCGTGTAGGAGAGGAAGTGTGAGTGAACAGAGACCCTCGCGGGACCGCCGGGCACACACTGATGGAGATCAGCAGGGAGCTGCGATTCAGACTCTCACACACATAGAACTGAGGACGATGCTCTTTCCGGTGTGTTTTCTCTTGTTAGAGAATTGTCACTGGTGAGGAAAATCAAGCTCAGCAATACGGCAAAAGGGGATATATTCTACATGACTACAGAGCTTTACTTTGTTAGTCAAGCTTTTTTGCACCGCTTAACTTTTAAAACAAATATGTAAATATATTATATATGGAATATATTGATATATTTGTAATAAGACAGAGGTTTCAGTAGCATATGGTGGCCAAAATTATTAGAACACAAGTATTTTCACCAGCTAAAAATAGTTTTAAGTCAGTCATTTCTATCTTTAGCTGTAGTATGTCAGTAGGAAATATCAGTTTACATTTCCAAACATTCATTCTGCCATTAATTGTAATAATCCAGTGAGATTTTTGTTTGCACAAGGAGTCTGACAACAGCCAGTGCTCCACAGACAGATCATCCAGTCTATCTGGAATGACATGAAGAAACAGTACAAACTGAGACAGACTAAATCCAGAAGAACTGTGCCAACGTCTCCAAGATGTGACCTAACCATTTTTATGAGCACACACGCACACACACACACACACACACACACACACACACACACACACACACACACACACACACACACATGAGCAGTTTTTAATCTAAATTAGATTGTATCATTTCAAAATTTAAAGCAAAAACAAAATGGTTTGACTTCAGTTTTGTGAAGCAATAGATAATATCTGCATGAAACCGAAACAGCAGACGAGCTGAATGAGACGCAGATTCACTCTCTGCCAGCAGGTGGCGCTTAAAGCGTTTCCTTGTTTTCTGCTGTAAACAAAGCAGCGCTGCGCTTATAAACTTTAATATGCATTATACAGAGGCAAGATGAAAAGAAGAAATACCATCAATACCAATAAGACAGTAAGTTCCCCTCAGACATACATTCATATAAACTCCTACCCTAATTGAATCGCGATTTGTTTAGCATCTCAACCGATTTGAATCGTAACATATTTGAACTGATTTTCAACCGGCTCGCGGTTAATCGTTACATCCCTAATACTGACCAAACTATATTTTCTATCTATTTTTATGTGGTTTATCATATACGTATAAATCTTTTGCTATTATGACCCCATTTTTGGAAGACCGTTTTATAGCTTTAGTATCTACAAATATTGTGAAGGGAGCATGCTGAAGTACATCTATATAGTAACTCAAACTCTTGTAACATGTAATGTTTTCCATGGTATGTCTCCTTTAAAAATCCCTTCCAGTATGCTTTGATCCACAAGACATTCATTTGAACTGCAGAACATTTACTAGGAGAGCTAAAGAGATTTTTTTTTTAACATGAGCCTCTCCCATAATTCCCCCCCCCACAAATATTGAGCTTCAATGACTTGGACAGACTGAACAGCCTGCACATGGTTTTACTGGAGTACGTTCAAAGCAAACTGACACAATCAGATTCGTTCAATAGATGATTAATAAAAGCCACTTCACGCCTAACGACTGAATCATAACCTGAATATAATAACAAGAAAAACCCCTACAGATCTAAACATTTGATATGGATCGACTATAATAACAAGACCATGTGGTGATGCACTTCCACGTGGAAAATATGGACTCGTCATAATTCCGACTGTGATTTGTCTTTTGTCTGTTGCCTTGCCAGCACTGGCAAAATAACCTGAACAAGACAATAAAAAAGCCAATAAGCCGAGCCTAGCCAGAAATATGGCAATATCCTAATTAAAGGGTTTGTTCACCCCAAAATTAACATTGTGTCATCATTTTCTCACCCTCATGTCGTTCCAAACCTGTATGAGTTTATTTTTCCATAAAACACAAAATTAGAAATTGTAAAGATTGTTCATGCTACAACCAAGATGTGACTGCCAAGCTTCAAAAAGGGCAAAAAAGACCATAAAAGCACTACAAAAGAAGTCCATATAAATCATACACCATATTTCAATTCTTCTAAAGCCATACAATAGCTTTGTGTGAGGAAAATACTAAAATTTAAGTTGTTATTCACATATAATCTTGCTTGACAAACATGGTCACCATTCACTTTTTTATTGTATGTCAAAATAACCTATACACATCTCTTTTTGTGTTGGAAGTCAAAAAAGTGTAGAAAAAAGGGGGGTATGAGTGAGTAAATGATGACAATTTTCATTTTTAGGTGAACTGTCCCTTTAAGACATTGAGAAGAGGCTGAAACTCATTCACATTGGATGTGATGACCTTCATGTCGTACTGTAAAAAGAAAGAGGACTGAATAAGTAATGTTATTTCACACAAATATTCAAAGGTAAATGTCCTTGGGGCATGTTTGCTTGCAGTAGTGTGTCTTTATGGCCGTCTGCAGTGAACACAGCCTCTGTGGAGCAGATGGGCCAGGTTTGGCACAGATTCTTGTTGGAAAACCCTGTGGCCTACAAACACTACAGACTGACTACAACACCTCAGGGTGGAGGGAGAGAGCAAATGAAGGCAGTGAAAGGGAAAGAATGAAAACAGAGGAACAGACAGATAAAAAGAGTGGGAGTTTGTACGCCAACAGAAACAAAAACTTATTTTAAGTTGAAGTACATGTAAGCTGCCCAGAGCTATTCAGACCCAAGTGAGCGCGATAGTGGGTGTCATGAATCAGTAAACAGCATTCAATGAACACCTACTTTTTTCTTTTTAAATAAGCCCCTCAAAGAATGTCTAGACTTTGTGTTTATATAAATGAGAGTAGCAGATGAATATGGAACAAGACTAATAGTATTTTCTAAAATCGTTGTCTTGAGGAGGGAGTTTGCCATTTCAGAGCCACTTGTGGCACAAAACAGTAAAATAAACAAACAAACAAACAAACATATATATATATAAATATTATGAAGAAAATAAATAAAATATAAAATGAATACAAAGTAAACAATTTAAATAGCTATAAAACAAGTTTTCTTAATAAATTTTTTTTTTAAATTGGGGGAAAAAAAAAATAAATCAAACTATACCTTTTTCAGGGCAAAGCCAATAATTTCATTTTCTGTGTGGGCTTTAACAAACATTCACATCTGTGTGAAAAGACCCAGACTACACAGCCAAGAACATCACACTTAAGTCGAGAGGCAGACATTACCGTGCCACTGAAACGGCCTGGCTGAAGACTACAGAGACGTCAGTGTATTGGGAAAGTCTCCGATTGTTGGAATTGGAGTACTTAATAAGAGGCTTTGAAAAGATATCAGTACAAATCTTCACAAACAATAATTTTCTTTAAACATACAACCTCAAGAAGATAAAAAAATGGCCTCTAGAGTAAAAAGGAAGACATTTACATAATTGTACTCTGCGGTTGGGAGTTTAAAATGGTTTGAAACCAAGCATAACAAAAAATACATTTGCCTAAAATTTTTGCATATCTTCGAAGAGTCTAGGATTGGAACAAAAATCAAACCATTGCAACAATGGGATAATTGTCTTAATTCTCTGACATTCTGAACAGTGCCGGGTTGGGAACATGATTAAAAAAAGAGATGATTTTAAAGGAGAAGTGCACCTATAAATGAAAGGAACAGACGAAAAGTGCATGAACACATTCAGATGTGTTATGATTGCTCACGAGAACCAATGTTGTTATCAATCTGGCATAAAGGTTCTTTATTGACATCTTTGGTTCAATGAAGACCCTTTAACATCCATAAAACCTTTCTATTCTACAAAATGTTCTTTAGATTATTAAAATATTTTTCACAATAAGAAAACAGCTATTTTAAGAACTGTTCATTGAAATGTTCATTGGGGACCAAAAATGGTTTTTCTATGGCACTGCTGTGAAAACCTATTTGTAAGAGTGTACTGTACAATGCAAAATATCTTCGATATTTGGAAAACACGAGGGTGAGAATTACAGAATTTTCATTTAGATTGAACTATTTCTAAGTTTTCATGTTCATCTTGTTCTACACACAGAACACATCTAAAAAGATCCTTCTAAATATTACATTAGTGAAAGATGAAACCTGGAAGCATAAAAAAGTTTAGACCCAAAATCTGTCTCTTCAGCTTCTGTAAGACAAAGAACCGATACTATAGATCCATTAAGGACGACGTTTTCTTTCAAAAGACAAACCCCCTAAAAGCTCCATCATTTATTCATGCTTTTGCAATTTCTATACTTGCACAAGACATTTCAGTCAGCATCTTGTCTGGCACAAACAGTCTTTAAGGTCCTACTTACTCCTCATATATTAATGACAGAAAAAAGATGGCAAGCCAAAGAAGAACAAAACAGATGCATGGAGGTGATAAAAGAGGCACAAATCTGACACAATTTGGGAACGCAGGCATTCCCCAGAAATAGAGCATCGGGAAAAAATGACTCATGAGTGTACAGTATGTTCAGTGTCTGAATGTATTAAACACAGTTTCAAACCTCCTCTAAGAAGACACCTGCAAACACTTAACAGAGTTCTCAACCCCATTTGAAGCTCTCAGGATGGACAGATAAGTCAAACTCCCCCCTCTCCTGACCTCTTACATCTACTCTACTTTATTCTGTCTTTTCTCCGCTCTCATCTGGCTGCTTAGAGGTTTGGGAGTGTCAAGAATGAAGCTGTCTGGCAGTGTTTTATAAAGCCTCTGGAAAGGTCTCTGTGATGTACTGTGTGAAATAGCTCAACAACAACAACAAGAAAATTATTTAAATAAGAATCAATGTGATAAAGAAAAGCAAATTATATGGATACGTATGAAAGCAATCAAGACATGCCAAACTATTTACACTACCTTTCTCGTTGTCCCCAAAAAACGTGTCATCTGAAAGTCTCCTCAACCTGGGCAACTCTGGGGAGAAACAAACACAAGGTGAAATAAATTCAGTTGCAAGGCTGGTACAAAAAACTGCAGTGACAGACTTTTCTCAGGCAAAGCTGTTGTATGGTTTTAAAAGACTTTTATGTGTGACTTTTATCACTTCTATGTGATAAATATTATATGAATAATATTCATATGCATTTTGTAATTTAATTGCATGCAACAATGTTGAAATTCGGACAGAATTTAACTGCACCAAAGAGGGACTCCTCAGCAAATTTCTTCATTTGCATACAAAAAAATCGAATGTGTTTCTGTGCTTTGGGAAGATGGGGTCATTGAGGTGAGAACATCACATGAGCACAGCTGGGCTAGAGCTACAGAATCACACACAAGACTACACACTCGAATGCAGTTATACACATACCCTCCGCTCAGTTCCCCTAAAGGCATGACAAGATGTTAAAGAGAGGCATTCACCTTCAAACTTTCCCTGCTGCAAGCCAATGCCAGACATGTTTTAAAACCCAAACTTACAGGACTTCACTGGAAGGCATAAAACAAGAGGACTGTGCATGGGGTTATTTTAGGAAAATGCTTTGTGAAATGTTCTTTATCCTCGAGCGAGGGACACAATGGGATCTTGTGAATTAAAATCTCAACCTTGTTCGACTGTGAAAAAGGGAGAACAGCATAACCAGTGCCTGATTCACAAACAAATAGCGTTTAAACGGGTTCATTTTGTGAATCAAAAACAGAGCAGAACTAGCATTAAATGATTCAAAAACAAATAGCCCTTTTAAACCGGTTCTTTTTGGAAAGCAAAAAGATAAGGCAAAAACCAAATGACTCTGATTCCTGGATTCAAGAACAAATGAGTCTTTTGAGCTTGGACTTGTAATGAATTATCTGAAAAACTCCGGTGTTGTTGTTTTAATTAGTCTGATGGATCCTTCATAGAATTATAAATATGAAAGGTTTCTTGAACACCAAATCAGCATACTGGAATCATTTCTGAAGGATCATGTGACACTGAAGACTAGAGTAGTGGCTGCTGAAAATTCAGTTTGATTATCACAAAATAAATTACATTTTAATATATATATATATATATATATATAAAAATAGAAAACAGTTAAATTGTTTAAATTTTTCAGTGTATGTCTGATCAAATAAATTGACTTTTTAATAAAAAAAAAAATTACAACTGAATTGATATCTAATTGAACTGGAACTGAATCCGGAAATCCAAGATTAATGACGGGAAACGACAAAGAATAAGTACAAAGATGAGGCTGTTCATGACCTGACTGGGCTTGAACCAAATGAGATAGATGATGTTCTTTAATGTAAAGGAGGCGCTTACTACAGAGCTAAATACAGTGTTAACAGCACTCAGCATTCCTTCAGCTTTGTGGACATCACAGTATCGTTCCCATGCTCTAAAAAGATCCGATATCAATCATATGAGGGTATGCAGGTTTAAAACAAGATAAATATCATACAAGGCTAAGAACGATTCGGCTATGATTTCTTTCATCAAACGCACACACATGAATCAATGTGTCAAAGCCAGACAAATGGTCCATAAATTAATTATACTATCTTTCTTGCTTCATTTCTCTGGAATACAGCCAAAGGGTTGTTCCTTGGGATAAATGTCAGGTCGAGTTTGATTTATAGGAATTTTTTCCTCAGGTGGAGACCTCCTGACATAACCCCGCTGAGCCGCAAGCCTCTGTTCATGAGGCCAGGTGGAGCTGGGGTCGTCCTCGGAGCATTTAAAACCCCATCAAACTTCCCATCCCCTAAAGACAGCTCAAGTCAATCAAAGCCTTCAATGGCTCTTAACTAATCCTTTTCTTTGAGCTTGTTTACAGCACCGCTCAGGAAAGCCGCATGGGCCACCGATTGAAGCATTGTGTTGCAAAAGTGCTGCCCACCACCCATCTCCACTTTTCCATCAGTCCAGACCGCAGAAACAAGAGCAGTGTTGAATACAGAGAGTGCTAATTGAGAGTCAAGAGGTTACGACCTTTGGATAGGGGTCCACGTGACCCCACCCTACACCCCAGAGAGGGAACCACGGCCTGGATTGGGAGGGGCTTCGGGTACGGTTGGAAACCGGGGTCACGTGGACCGTCCTCTTTGTAGATCTCTTGATAAAGAGATCTAGCAGCAGGGTTTGGTTGGATTTGCATTCGGCCAGAGGAGCTTTCATCCCCCTCTCTTGGTCCATCCAAGGAGGGGGGCTTGGGGTGATGGGACGGCCTCTCAATGCTCCTTTCTTCTGGATCTGCTGGAGAGGTTGGAGCACAGAGCTGGGCTTAGACAGCAGGCAGTACTTCCATGCGGAGAAGCTGGGCCGTAACCTCACACACAGGGGTCAAGGAGCCGATAGGAGATAGGGTCAGCGAGACCACTGCTCAGGGCCGCAGATAGAGAGCGAGAGAGAGAGAGAGAGAGAGAGTGAAAGAGAACAGAGAAAGATCTTATCCGTCTTCATTTGGAAAAACCTCCCACATTCTCCCTCCAAGGCCTCTTTAAAAGCATTGGACACTGTATCAGAACATCACAAAGACAAGGCCAGTGTTTAAGACCACTGTAAGCCATCAGGATCCTTTAAATGTCACGTCGGCCCAGGGGTGAATTTCATGAAACCTTGTCAGGAGCACAACCAGGTCGTATTTATCCCCCAAACAAACAAAAGTCTAAAACAACAATGATTACTGCTCAAAATGTGCCAGGTGAACATAGAAGTTTCTAATGGGTACAATGAGAAAAAGAGATTATTTTGTGTTGTGAGATTATTTTCATGACGATTAAAAACTTTTCAGTAACACCTTATTTTAAGATGTCCTTGTTACAGGTTAAATGTACTTACTATTGTAATAACAACAGATTATGCGTAATTACACGCAAGTAACCCTAAGCCTAACCCTAAACATATACTAAGTACATGTAGTTAATTAATATTACGCTGTATTTAAATATATAATTACACTGTAACAAGGACACCTTAAAATAAAGTGTAACCAACTTTTCCCCTTAAGCTCTCATTACCAAATTGTAAAAAATGTAATTTGCATTATAAAATACAAAACATGAAATACAAATAAGAGAAAATACATTCCCAGTAATCACAGTAATGAGAATCACTAAAAACAGAAATAAAACTAAAATAAATTAATTAATTAAATAAAAACCAGATGCATAACAGTAATGTGAATGTGTGGGACAATGTACTTAAAAATTAAAATAATATTTTAATTATAAAACTAATTATGTAAAAAACAAAACAACTTTTTTTATTATTTCTCTTTTTTTTTTTTTTTTTTCATCTTTGAGGTGAAATGTGATCTGGACATTTTTCATGAGATTTACATGAACTGGTAAAAGCATTCAAATCTGATTCTATTATATTCTGCTGAACGGTATTTAGGAAGTTTTATGTAATATTGCCACCACCTATTGGATAGCAACAATCATGCAAAATGTGTAAATGTATATTTATTTTTACCCCTCTGCATTAAGGTCCATTTATGCTATTCAAATGTGTTTTTTTGCACCAAAAAAAGCCATAATTAACTTTAATTTAATTAGTATTTATACATTTCATGGTAGCGTTGCTTTATTGCCTTAATTTAACATTAATTTTTATAAAAACAATCATTATATTATTATTTAAACCATTATATTAGAAAGTTTTTAATGACCATACTCCCATCTCCTGTCTCAAATTGAGCAGGCATTTTTGCTCCTGCGCCTTTTAGACAAAGTAAATGCCCCCTTTGAGCATGAAATGAGTTTGCTGTCTGATCCAAGAAAGTTTTCTTTGCAAGCAGCTGCATTACATTATGACAGAATTACAAAACAATCCAAAATGTCTCACCCAAACCGAACAATTTAGTTAAAAACACACTTGATAAAATAAGCTTAATTTTCTATGCAGCATGTTTTACAAGAAAACACTATTTGTCTTACTTCAAAATGTCACATTTTATTCTAAGTGTTACTTGCCATTTCTTTGTAATTCTTTATAAAATGTACTAACTTTTTCTGAGTGATTTTTTATTCCATTAAATCCTACAAGAATTGTTTTCAATTTTAGCTGTTTTGCGTCTTTTTGAATGTAATTTTTTTTATAGCCACTTTGTTTTCATGGAGCATCAAACATATACTTTTAAGTTAAGTTCATGGAAAACTAAATTTCTCATGATATAATCTCTTCAAATATCTCAAAAGAGCATTTAGAAACTCTCCCATGGCTTGCACGGAGTCAGATAAATCTAATTTAAAGCAAAAATAAGAGAAAGCTCCTTTAAAAAGATTTTTGACTGTCCACACCCTCTCTTGATGTGTCCGTTAGATCTGTGGTCTCATGCAGCGTCACACACCCACAGACCATTTCAACTTTATAATGCAGGCCTGAAATCAAGCAGACTTGAGGGAGATCACATGACATTTTACCTGAAAACTATTTACTATCTGCCCCAGCCAGCAAAGCATTATATTGGCTTAGCACACCTTCAGATCTGGTCATTAACAGGCATGCCTTTGAAAAGTAAGCCGTCAGCTCCAATCAAACCGTTTCAGTCTGGAACGCTTCTCTGTTGAAGGCCTGCCGAGCGTATCGCAGGTATGTGGGGGCCCCCAGCGGTCTCTGAGAGGTGCCCGGGTGCGCGAGCAGCCTGGACTCTCAGCCATCTGTGAACAGGACAGCATCTGTCTGTAGAGCCAAAATTATCTGGAATGAGGGGGAGTGACGGAAAGGCATCTATGTGTGATTGAAACGTATCGCTGGCAAACGCGCACACATGCATGATGGGGCATACTTTTTGGAATGGAACCAGATGCATAACAGTAATGTGAATGTGTGGGACAATGTACTTAAAAATTAAAATAATATTTTAATTATAAAACTAATTATGTAAAAAACAAAACAACTTTTTTTTATTATTTCTCTTTTTTTTTTTTCATCTTTGAGGTGAAATGTGATCTGGACATTTTTCATGAGATTTACATGAACT